CGGGGCGGCTGGGCCTCAATTATTGCAGCGTGTCGCCTCGACTCCCATCGCCCTGCCCCGGGGATGAGTGCGTGAGATACAACGGGTTTGCGAGTGGCCTGATGGATTTGCCCCTCGGGGCGGGTGTGGTGTGAAACGGAAGTGTACGGTGCAGTCACAATCAGGACTAGGGCCAAAACTATACAGCATGTACTCGCCAAAAAGAGTTGTGATAGGAACAGAGTTTGCTTAGTTAAGGTAGTTGTTATTGAATTCAATCTGACATGATTGAAAGAATTCCTCTAAAATAGTTTCAACACTATAATAATAGTTTTAACCAATGCCTTCTTTGACTTGTTTGTTGAGTACGTGGGTGATAATTTTTACCCTTAAGTTGACACAATAATACAAAATCAAGCGGCTCTTCTTCCTTGCAACGTTCCCCAGACTAAAATTCCCACATAGCATCCCACAAGAAGTCCCTTCCCGCAGGTTCTTGTAGGTTTTTGGCGTGGGACATTTTTCCCACAGGTTGCATTTTCCCACATGAAAAATATTTCCCACAGGACGAAATCCTGCATAAAAAATAGCAGGTACTACTCCTTTTGGCTACAAACGAGTACCAGAATACTGTTCAAAATGTTCAAGAATGGTTCAGTAACATAATTACGTAAAAGTTTTTAGTTAAAAGGTTAAAAAAGTGAGTCAGGTGGCAGTATTCGAACCCAGACCCTTCTCATTACTAGCTAGGACCTTTACCATCTGCGCTACGGCGCCTTCTGCTAGAGGACAGTAGGCGGGGCGATGACTATCTACAACATGGAAACCTTGCCACTGCACAGGAAAATATTCTAAGTCCCACCTCCTGTGGGAAGTCAAGTTGTGTGGGTGATACCACAATTTTTGTGGGACATCGATGTGGGAAAAATCTTCATGTGGGATTTCCAAAATTTCCACAGGAAATACCTCCCACAATCTTGTGGGACATGTAGGATTTTTTGTCTGGGTCCTCTTTTCAGCAATTAAAAAAAAATCTTGATTAGATGAACCCCTTTGCAAAAACCAAATCCCTTTTTAATTTCCGCGTTTTTTTTTTGTTTTTGTTTTGTTTTGCCTCCCATCGCCGATAACGACTAATGTCTCTTCTCGTCTCTCGCAGGTCCACCAGCGCACCCACACGGGCGAGAAGCCGTTCCGGTGCGCCGAGTGCGGCAAGACGTTCTCCCAGCTGCGCAACTTCAAGTACCACCGGTCCGTGCACGAGGGCACGCGGGAGTTCGCCGCCACCTGCCCCGAGTGCGGCAAGCTGTTCAACGACCGCGGCTACCTCTCCTCGCACATGAAGATCCACCGGAACAGGTGAGCCGTTGGTGCCGGGCCCGCGCCCCGCCCCGCCCCG